AATGGAGACGTAATAATAATTTTTTTAATTAATATTATTATATAAATGGTGTTCTGTTGTGTGTGTTAATTCAATTCAGGAGGGGATTTTGAAGAACAACACCCCTCTTCTCTAAAGAAATCGTTTTCATAAGGTTAATGATTTGACTTAACAACGTGCATTCGGAATCGGTACGTGTTTTTTATTTTCTTATAAAAGAATTCAAAGACGTGCTGAGCTGTTGCCATTCCATCTCTGAATCCTTCGCTCGGCTATCTCTCTTCCTTCTCTTATTACCTTCGTGACCCTTCTGTGGTGCAAGCTGTAAAAGAATGGAAGCTTATTTGGACACATCTCGGGTTCAACTCATTCTTCCTTTGGATATCTCTCGTATAAGTTGTCACCGAATGTCGCAATGATTTAGAGACGGCCACTGCTGCATTCTTCACCACGCGTCTTCTTTCGCTTCTTCCAAGTATTTTTCTTCCCCATTCTGTTCTCTCTCTTGTTTTTGCTGTTTCTCCGACAATGAGATCAGAATCTTAGCCATTTTGTTGTCCTTTTTTCTCTCTTTGTGGGTCTTTTTCGATTTTAAGATCGGTTTCAGAATTTTGGTCTTTAGGGGTTTTGGGGCCTGAAAATCGGTGTTCTGCAGCTGGGGTTTTGAGATCGTAGCTCAAAATGGCTCCCTCGTTTGATTGGTGGGGAAAAGACACTCATAGAGGAACTCCTGTTGTTGTGAAGATGGAGAATCCGAATTGGTCGATGGTGGAGCTGGAAGGTCCGTCGGAGGATGATTTTCTCATCGCCGGCGACTCGCCGGCGACTCGGACTAGAGAGAAAGCCCGAGGCAAAAACGCTAAGCAACTCACGTGGGTTCTCCTACTTAAGGCTCATAAGGCTGCTGGTTGTTTAACTTCCATTGGCTCTGCAATGGTGGACCTAGCCGCTGCCGTTAGACGCCGTGTTGCTTCTGGTCGGACTGACGCCGATGACGCCGACAATGACGTCTCTGTTGGAGGCAGAGTGAAAGAGAACCCCACTGTGAAAACGAGATTCTATTCTTGTATCAAAGTGTTTCTATGGCTGTCGGTGCTTTTGTTGGGTTTTGAGATTGCGGCGTTCTTCAAAGGCTGGCATTTTGATACTCCAAAGCTTCATTTGGATTATCTCTGGGCATCGCAGTGGGGCTTTAAAGGAGTTTTTGATTGGATTTACGCTCAATGGGTATTGATTCGAGTGGGTTATTTAGCTCCTCCTCTTCAGTTCTTAGCCAATGCCTGTATCATATTGTTCATCATTCAGAGCTTGGATCGTTTAATCTTATGTCTGGGTTGTTTCTGGATCCGATTCAAGAAAATCCAACCAGTTCTTAAACCTGGAGATTTAGACCTTGAATCCGCCGAAAAGGGCTACTTCCCAATGGTTCTTGTGCAGATCCCCATGTGCAATGAAAAAGAGGTGAAATTCCTTGTTCATATCCTCTGCTTTTGCCGGACATCGTTCGAGTTCTTGTTGATAATTGAGTTTGTGTGTTGTTCTTCTTCTCAGGTTTATCAGCAATCAATCGCTGCTATCTGCAACTTGGACTGGCCTAGAACCAAGCTGCTAATTCAAGTTCTTGATGACTCTGATGATCCAACAACCCAATTGCTGATACAAGAAGAGGTTCATAAATGGCAGCAAGAGGGCGCCAACATTGTTTATCGTCATAGAATCATTAGAGATGGTTACAAGGCTGGCAACCTCAAATCCGCCATGAATTGTAGCTACGTTAAAGACTATGAATTCGTCGCGATCTTCGACGCCGATTTTCAACCCACACCTGATTTCCTTAAAAGAACTGTTCCTCATTTCAAGGTATTTGATGCTCTTTTTGCAAATCAATTGTGTTTTGGAGTGTCCTTAGATGATTGTTAACTCCATTTTTCAAATGGCACTCAGGATAATGAGGAGCTGGGGCTGGTTCAAGCAAGATGGTCGTTCGTGAACAAGGATGAGAATTTACTGACCAGGCTGCAGAACGTTAATTTAGCTTTCCATTTTGAAGTAGAGCAGCAAGTTAATAGTGTGTTCCTCAACTTCTTTGGATTCAATGGCACTGCTGGTGTGTGGAGGATCAAAGCCCTCGAGGACGCCGGTGGGTGGTTGGAAAGGACCACGGTCGAGGACATGGATATCGCGGTCCGTGCTCATCTTCATGGATGGAAATTCATATTCCTAAACGACGTCGAGGTACTAATCGTTGTTCATTATATGATAATTTAGTGTGTTTCTGAGTTATTATTGAACATAATTTTATCTGTATGATCAGTGCCAATGTGAGCTACCAGAATCTTATGAAGCTTATAGAAAACAACAACATAGATGGCATTCTGGTCCAATGCAATTGTTTCGTCTTTGTCTGCCTGCTATTATTCGATCAAAGGTATCGTTATTCGATCGAACGTGCAATTATTCGTTTTGTAATCGAATTATGGCTCGATCAAATTGCTGATAATAGTTCTCTTTACGTAATTGATTCAATGCAGATTAGTATATGGAAGAAGTTCAACTTGATCTTCCTCTTCTTTTTGCTCAGAAAATTGATATTGCCCTTCTATTCTTTCACACTTTTCTGCATAATTCTCCCAATGACAATGTTCGTTCCTGAAGCCGAGCTACCCGCGTGGGTCGTTTGCTATATCCCAGCCACGATGTCGTTTCTAAACATCCTACCTGCCCCAAAATCCTTCCCTTTCATTGTCCCTTACCTCCTTTTTGAAAACACCATGTCAGTTACCAAGTTCAATGCCATGATCTCAGGGCTCTTCCAGCTTGGTAGCGCATACGAATGGGTTGTCACGAAGAAATCGGGTCGGTCCTCGGAAGGTGATCTTTTGTCATTGGTAGAGAGAGAGCAAAAGCATCAAAGAGGGGCGTCGGCGCCCGACTTAGAAGAGATGAAGGAAGAGCTTGAGAAACAGGAAAAGAAAGCTTCTTTGCGGAAGAAGCATAACCGAATCTATACAAAAGAGCTGGCATTGGCTTTCCTTCTCTTAACTGCATCAGCACGGAGCCTTCTGTCTGCTCAAGGGATCCATTTCTACTTCTTGCTATTCCAGGGGATCTCGTTCCTGCTCGTCGGTTTGGATTTGATCGGCGAACAAATAGGTTGATTGTAAAAAAAAAAAAATGTATGGAACTCTGTAGGGAAGAACACAAGGAAATTACCCCAAAAAAAAAAAAAGAAAAAGAAAAAGAAAAAACCACAGTGGAATAACTTGAAGAAAAGGGAAGGCTTCTGAGAGTCAAAAGATGAAGAGAGCCTCAGAATATGCTTCAAAATACGAATGTGAAGTCCATTTCAGTTGAAGACAGGCGAAAACAACAAAGGAGCATTATAAGGGGACAGTAGCAAAAGACATAATATTGGACAGAGATAACGCTTATTTCAAAGGGCGATGCTCTTCCAGTGTGTGTATGTAGGTTTTTTTTTGTTTTTTTTTTTTGGTTTTGTTTCTCATAATGTTGTTTCAATTCGTTTGTTTTTGATACTTTTGTAAGAAAAAATTTCATCAAAAATATGATGAAGAAGATGAAAGATGAGATGGGGACATAAGAAGTTGGTTCATATTTAATGACTGTTTCTTGTGCCTTCCTTCTGGTTGCTTTGGTGGTGTAGTTGTCAATGAGAAGATGTTGGGTAAGCCTAAATTTACCTGACCAAAGCAATTTTGTTTGTGGAGTGGGTGATTGGTCGGTGATTGGTCGGCGATTGGTGCGTTTAAGGTTCAAAGATATCCAAAACGTAACTGTCCAAATTCGAAAGATGACACCTAATAGTGGGAGAGGAGTTGCAGCCTACACGCGGCAAAGCTTTCTAAACCATTTTTTTGTTCGGATTTAAACATTTATTTGTTTTACTATTATTATTATTATTATTATTTAATTTCTTGTCTCTACCCTGTCTGTCCATTGAATTTTAAATGGTTGGAGGTATTTTCGGTTTATATTTTAGATAATATTATTTTAATTTTGATTTTTTTTTCTTTTAAATTCTATTTTGGATTGTATATGAATTGGGTTCTAATTTTTTCTTACATAATAATTTCAATTTTGAGTTTAGTTAGATTGTTTCGAGTAGGGTTCATCGTTCAACCTAACCTTTTATTTTCTAATTTCGTTGATGGTTTAATTTATTATTTTTTAAAAAATTATAGTTATGTATAATACATATCATATTAATAATTAAAATTTCATACCGTTTAAATACCAAATACATACAAGTTTACTACTACAAAAGGTTTCCACCATATTTTCAATTGTTATTTACATTTTTTTTTTGTATCGAAGTGTCACAATTTCACTCTTGCGATAACAACACAGCGATTGTGCCTCACTTGTTCTAACCCAGCAAACAAATCATCCGTCTTAAATTCAAAATTCACATACAATATTGACTTATATTCGACATGTCAAAATTTAGTATAAGTTATTGACAGTTTGAATTAGTCAAAATATTTATAATTAATTAATATTTAGATAATATATTAATTATAAAATATATCTTAAATTCAATTAATATTTTTCACATTTGTAATATATTTAATTTTATGCTCATAGTTTATATTTTCTTTATTACGAGTATTAGTTTATATCTTGTATCCTACTTAAACGCTGTGAATATCCATAAATATTGAACCTTCCATCTTAATTCTATTTCTCATTCCTAAATCTGTATTGTAATAATATTTTCGTGTCGTTTGATAGAAATATTTTAAAAAATAGGTTTGAAAACAAATTAAAAAAAAACAATGTTAGAATTAAAAGGGGCTGAATAATAATACACTTAATAGCAGATAACTGGGATCTGATTATTACGTGGTTAGATTCAAAAGTTGATATAATTGAATGAAGAACAAAAACAGAGATAAAACTTGACTGACACAAATGATAAATCAAACAGAAAAAAAGTGGAAAAGTTTTGCCAAGAATGAATCGGTGAGTTGAAACAGAGATGATTCGACAAAGATCAGAAGAGATTGAAATGAAATGGCAGCTTGTGATCTTAAATTCATTAAAGATTCATCGCATTGCCACCGCCATGGACACGCAGAACGAAGCATATAAGCATGCTCTGTTCTTGTCCTACTAACAAACAAATGAATATCAAGAGTCCCAAATGAACAAAACCCAAGAAAAAAAATGATACCAAATGCAAATAACAAAGGAAGATTTGATCCTTCTCTTCCAAAATTTCCATGAAAACTCAACACTAATCTACAATCCCCAATTCAAACCAATTCTCATCATCAGCCCTCACCCACGTTCTAAATTTACATTCCTTTTTCTGCTATCAATCCATCTTCTTCTGCTAAAACTCGAAGAACAATAGTCAGAAACCGAGTCCTATACATTTGAATTCCCCAGTCTCCTCCTCCATCTCCAACCACTTAGCGCTCTGCTTTCAACCTCCCTGCCATCGCCAAATCAATTACCATCTGGAAGTTCAGAATGCAAAGCTATTAGATTATGAACCCTACCATTTGGTCCCAAATTGTCAATGGCCGAACCCGAATCGAACCCCATTTGGAGAAGAGTTTGGATATCACTTTCCAACATCGTCTGCACCAAAATGGTATTCCATTCAACACATTTGCATCAGTTGAGTATTAACTTCAAAGTTGAGTACCTGAGGTAAAGAAGGAAACTGCGTGGATGTGGATGTGGATGCCATATTCGACATCATCCCCTGAAACTGAAACATCCGGTGAGCGGGGACGACCGGAGGAGCTGCGCTCATCCCAGGATGATCAAATCCTAGAACACTTTCATTGCTGCCTCGTACCTGGAAAATCTACACCAAAACAGAATCAAAATGGTTCATGGACGACATTGTATAACAATCTAACCAGCCGACACAATTATGAGCTTACATCTTTGGATAAAATCCGCTCGAGATCGATGTTCATGTCGGGGTTGACAGTAGCAAGTTTCATCGACAAAAACTGCAACAAACCCAACAAAATTCATAATCTCAACCGACATTCGGTTCAAATTCTGTTTGAATTTTTAACGCATACCTCAACCTGTTGTTGCAGTGATTGAACATAGTTTATAATTTCATCAAGCATTACAGCTTTTCCAGTAATCTAGAGACAAAAAACAGATCGAAATTCGAGTGAGAATCAAACATGGAGGAGCTGAAAAAGTCGGCTGGAATTAAAGCAATCCATTACCTTATTGCATCCAGGAACAAGTTCTTGAAGCAATCTCATCCGTTCACTAATCTTCTCCCTCCTCACCCTCTCAGCAAGGCTATGGCTGTTTGTGGCTTGCCCTCTTCTAGCTCGCACATGAATGTAATTTTCCTTGGGAGCTTCTCCACTGTTACTGGACTTCTCTTTAGCTTGTTTTCCAGTTCGTAAATTCTGTTCCATTTCTGGATTTTTCTCTTCTTGTGTACTCGAACTTTCCCCAGAAACATCTTTTTTCACTTTCCCTTCAGATTTCTGCTAAAGAAACAGTAAATTCAACGCCATGATTTGAAATCAAAGAGGTAATTGAAGATTTGTGGATGTTTTTACCGTATTTGAGCTAAATGGGAAGGCGGAATCAAGGGCTCGTTTTCTGATTTTACCATTTGGTGAACCTAATGCAGCTTCTTCACCAGATGGTGGTGGTAAAGTTTCTTGTGATGTTTGAGCAGTGTTGGCAGTTCCTCCATTTCTGTAACTTGAAGAACACCCTCCAAGAATCTGATCAGCAAGACCAAAAGAACCGAACATGTCGGAATAATTCCCACTCCCAAAACATGGCAACTTCGTACCCATCTCTAAATCTGTCGGATATTGAACAGTCTGTGATGTGCCACTTCCTCCTCCATGATGATGATTCTCCAAAACAATAGGAAAGGAATTTGAAAAATCTCGATGTGAGGAAGCCATTGAAGCTGCTCCAAAGCTCTCACTTTGACCTAATGAAACCAGTGGATCCCAACCAGACCCATAAAACGAACCCATCGCCATTGTTACTGAAGTTCTATCCGAAGATGGACAATTCAGTAACCCATCACTCGAATTTCGAAAACCCATTTCGTCATTTTCGAGATCACCCATTTTCCTCCCCTTGCTAGTCAGTTTACAGTTACTTCCAATGAAAGGAAAACAAAAACGAAAAGAGAGAAAATATATTAAAAGGGAAAGGCGATTTTGACCAGAGTTGAGCCTGTGATATCTTGCAAGACTAAACAAAGAACAAAATGTAGGCTTTGCAGCTTTATAAGACGTTAAAGTAAAAGCAGCTTCTCAAATGCAGCATCCCCATGAACAAAAAAGCTAAAGAGAAAGAAGAGAGGGTGTTGTTGAAGGTGTAGAACAAGCTTGCTCTGTTTTGCTCTGTTTTTTCTGCTCTGTTTTTTCTACTCTGTTCAAATGCAAAAGGGAGAAGAAGAGAAAGTGAAGCTTTGAGAGTATAAAGTGGAGAAGAAACAACGACATTAGCTACAGAACAGCTCATGAATGCAGCAAAAGGAAAGCAGATTCGCTTTTAACTTTTGGGTATGAAAGAAAAACATTTTCCAACTTCTCCATCGAATCAAACACCAAAATATGATTGATTTAAGAAGCCTCTCTCTCAGGGTTCTTTTCTTCGGCTTAGAACAGAAAAAATCTGAAAAGGGATTCCTGCAAAGTTTCAGGAAATGAAAATGGTCGGTCTTAACAGAGAAGCTATAAAGAGAGACGTAGTAAACCAATGGGTGAAGTTATGAACCAAGAAAGAAGTGGAATTCACGAAATGGGTTGGTTCATGGTTGCATAAAGGGCAAAGAAAGCATCGAATTCCAACTTTTATAGAACAGAGACAGAGACAGAGACAGAGACAGAGAGAAGAACACAGACATTTGCTCACCTGTGTGTGGACATGTATGAATTAGATATTAAAAGACAAGACATCATAGACTAACTAATGCCAACTGCTCTTGTTGATGCTAAATTATTACACAAAACCTAATCTCTACCTCTCTTTTTTTCCACTTTAATTTTGTATATTACTTTCTCTCTCTTCTGCAGCTTTGAATTAAAATACTCTGTTTTTTTTTTCTTTCTTTTCTCTGTTTCTCTCTCTCTCATGCTTCTAATGATAGGAGAAGTGAAGCAGTGGAGAAGGGGAGATGTTCTTCTCTTCAAGCCCAAGCTTGCTTGCTTCTTCCTTTCATCTATACTTTCTCTTATTTAACTGACACATTTGCCTCCCAATTCTAAAAGACTCTTCTTTGCTGTTACACACTCATTTTTTCAACTAACCCCTCCTCTTCTCTTTCATTATTGTTCTACCTAATCTCATTTTAATCTCTTCAATGCTTCTTTTCTTTCTTTTTCTTACTTTTAACCCAAATTTTTATTCTTTTTTCCCCTGCCCATCTTCAAGTTTTTAAGTTTAGACGCTGCCAGAATCTCGTAGAAGTCCGTGTTAATCTTTATGAAATCCAAGAAAATACTCACATCAATGTAGCACTGTGTCCAACATGTTTCAATGTACTTTCAAGTATGTATTTATAGTGTAAAAGTTACCTATACCAACAGAGTGCACTTTTTTTTTCGGCTGAGAGCGTACTTTCCTTCAAGTAATTTTATGTTGGGTAACCTTTAAAAATTTATTGAAATGCATGTCGGAGGAGTAAGTAACGTGATCATGTAGTAGAGGAATGTTGGGCCATCGAGTGTCGAATCCAAATTTCAAATCTTGAATATGATCGGAATAGTGGGTGATATATTAAAAGGGGAATTTGAGGAGTAAAAGTAAAGAAGAAGTGGGATTAGTTTAGTTTATTGAAAGAATGAGCTGTAATAAGAGTGGTTTGTTTAGGTGATTTGGGTGCTTTATAAGGAATATTGGAATCTGATCATCCAAATTTACTTCCTTGTCCTTGCTCTACCATTTCCAGCTATACTCCATGTCTGCATCTAAATTTCTCCCTTATTATTATTATTTTTTAATTTTAATTTCAATTTCTATTATAATTATTTAAAATTAAAAAAAAATTAATTTTAGAAAATTATTATAAAAGAATGCATGATTGTGATGGTACATCAAACTTATCACTGCACCTTCTCACTCCAAATCATTCCTCTTTCTCTCTCTTCATCCTTTTTTTTCCAATTTTAATTTCTTCCAGATTTAAAACAGTATCATTTGAGTGATTACCCTCGCATGCCCCAACGCCAACCATACATATATTAATAAATAAATAAATAAATCTCCATTTCTGACTTTATACCTAAATGGTTACCTCACATTCTTACATTAAATTAAAACATATTTAATTTAATTTTAATACGTCGAACGTGACCTTCATATGAAGCTAGAGGTTCTAACTAGTAAGACCGGTCGAAGGTGTGACGGGGTTTTAGCTTGATGACTTAGCGTTGAAGAAGCAATTTTAATTTTAATGTTAAATTTAACTTAAATTTTTTTTTTAGAGTTAAAATTGAAATAAAAATAATAATAAAATGATATGTAGAGTTGAGAAATCTGAGGCGTGCGATATGTGTGGCCCTACTTCACCGTCAATGATGGGTTTGGTCCGTTAAACGAGAATCTCAATGGATTTTTATTTTTTATTTATTTTTCCTTCTCTAAAAGCCTTGATGTCGACTTATGTTAATATCATATCTTATATATATTTTTTTAATGTTTTTAATATATGTTCGACTGTCAGTCAATACCTAAAGAAAATCTATTTTCATTCATTTAATATTATATATTAATGTGTGAATAATATTAAATTAATTAGGGAGTGGGAGTTTGTTTTAAAAATAGGGTACTTTGCAAAGCTAAGCTCAGCCCATGCTTTTAAAGAAGCCTTTTCTCTTTACATAAAGCAACCACATTTCTCTTTCCCTATTAGAACTAAAAAAGATGATCATTACAACTAAACACACACTTACATGCATTAACACAATTGTAATTATACACTTACTTCAATTAATTTTCCCAATTAGCTGATCAACCAAAGGTTAATTAACTTTTAAAAAAACTTTAATAAAACTCGAGTGTTTTGAACATTATCATATTATTATTGAAAAACGAAGATGTTGTTAATAAATGTTATGAAAAAATGAAATTAGAATGTTCAACAGATTCTTGATATTGGACGATTAAAATGACTCTTCGTGCACCTAACTATTACAATCATTATAATTTTGAACGGCTCAAATATTAGAATGATTTGGGTTTATTAGGTAGGTAACAAAGTTTCAAGTTCTACGGCCTTAAATTCTCTTGTTGTCTCATATTATTACTCCACCTATTAGATTTTGTTCATCAAATGGAGATCCTGCACAATTCCCTAAAAAAACTATTTTTTTCAATTGCCTCGTAATTAATGAAAAATAGAAATAGATTTCTTAAAAAGGATTTCGCCACTTTTTTTCTACGCTCTTTTGGGAGCCTAGTGTACTCATGTCTGTGATACTATTTGTTTGATTTGGTTCATTATGATTTCTCGTCAGCCTCAAAACTTTAAAATGGGTTGGAGAGATTTTTACGCTCTTGTAAGAAATGTTTCGTTTATCTCTTCAACCGACGTAAAATCTCACATATAAAATAGGGTTCGCGTTAAAATGGTAGGGATGAAAGGGAAATGGGTAATGAGCTAAGGGAGGGAAGAAAGTAGAAGATGATGATAATAGAAGAATTGGGAGTTGGAAGATAGAGAAAGAGTAATTGAAACACAATCCATGAAGAGATGAGAGTTTAATGAGAGTAAAGTGGTTGGAATTGAATGAATGTTCCCACATCCACAAGCTACCATTTTGAATTCCCCTTCGTGCGTAACACAATCGCCACTCTCCACTCTTTTCATCTTCATTCCAAAACCAAACATTAACATTAAGAAAAACAAACCCAATCTTTGCTTTGTTTTTAAGAATAATGTTGCCTCCTGCTGTTTCTGTTTCTGTTTCAAACAAACATTCACCTCCATCACTATTAACAATCCAACCACACTCTAATCATCATGCCTCTCTTCAAAACTATTTCTCTGACACTCCAGTTTTCTATATATATTCTCTCTACAATATTATCATTTCCCCACCCATTCTCTACCCCTAAAATCCTTTTTGCACATTTTCTTGTGGCTCGTGTTCCTCCCGACGTCGTTTTGTCTACATAAACTACTTATCATCAATAAGGATGAATGTGTTGTACTTTTGTAATTACCATTACGGTATAATCATGAAGTTTTTTTAAATTCTCTCGTCAATTGATTTTTTTTTTTTGGGTTTTTAGTAATGATTTCATTAAGTAAAGTACATTATTTTATTTTATTTTATTTTATTCAATATTAAATTGTTGTGTAAATATTCATGTGTTTCGAAATTTTAGAGATAAATGTATAATGATTTTAATTAATAAGTTGTTGAAGTTTTAAAATTTTTTAAAAATAATTGATACAATTATATAAATTTTCAATAGCTTCTTATATCATTATATAAATGGATTAGTAAATAAATTTATATAGAAACTAAATTTGTAATTTAATGAAAACTTCCCAAAACGTTAATGTTTTTACCTAGCCCTGTATTGCTATGGGCGGCCCTCAAAAGTGGGGGAAAAGCAATCCGCTATTGGGACCAGCCGACGAGGCTGATAGACTGGGCCGGAAATCCCTACTCTAGGCCCACAAATTTACTGGGCTTTTTGTAGCATTTCGTATAAAGCCCAAGTTCTTTTTTAATTTACTGGGCTGATATACTGGGCCGAAAATCCCTACTCTAGGCCCACAAATTTACTGGGCTTTTGTAGCATTTCGTATAAAGCCCAAGTTCTTTCTTTTTTTTTTTAAATTTACAGGGCTGATAGACTGGGCCGAAAATCCCTACTTTAGGCCCACAAATTTACTGGGCTTTTTGTAGCATTTCGTATACAGCCCAAGTTCTTTCTTTTTTAATTTACTGGGCTGATGACTGGGCCGAAAATCCCTACTCTAGGCCCACAAACCTTTCTAAAAAATATTAAATTTCACAGAAAAAGTACCGCAAGCTGAAGCAGAAACAAAAGCAGAAGCATGATCGATCACACTCACACACCCACGAACATAAGAGACACAACTATTCACATGGTTTGGAGAAAATAAATTTTCCTACCTCCATGGGTAGTAGCCAATCCAATCCACTCTAACTAAAGTTAGAAAGTTTTTCCCAGTTGCCTCTAAACAAATATAAAATAACACTTACCTTACCTCCACAACAATACTAGACATACCTTTATATGAGCATAACAATACTAACACTCATACGTGAATCATATCATATATCAGCTCATACATGAATCATATCATATATCAATACGAGAGAATGTACTCTATGACATCCAAATGAATCCAATAAATATGTGAATATATGCGAGGAATGTACAAAAAGTATTCATGAATCCGAAAAGTTCATGAACCAAATCTTTTCGATAATTCTAAACCGTTTGGGTCGCGCAGCAAGCTCAGCTAAAAGTAGGAATGCGACTTTGATGGGTCTGCACATTCATAGACAAAAATATACTCCGAGAATAAAGACATGGTTTTGGTCAAACCCATGCCCTGTTTGTATTATTGGCAATGAGTATGAGCTGCATTTGTATTTGCCATTAGAGAAGGGGAAAAAAATAAAGAGTAAAAAAGAGCACACTCAATCATTCTGAGCCAAAAGATTCGAGGAAAATAAGGTGGATTTGATCCTGATGTTGAGGGTTAGGAATTGCTACTCTCCATAATAGTACGATGTCCACTTTTAGCATAAACTCTCGTGGTTTTGCTTTGGACTTCCTCAAAAGGGCTCATACTAATGAAAATGTATTTCTTACTTATAAATTTCCAATCATTCCCTAAATTAGCTAAGGTGGGACTCCCTCCCAACAATACTCACTAGCGAGTGGAATCGAAGACAATTCATTAAACATTGAAGAAAGATACTGAAAGAGCTTTGTCTGTCGGTCTCAGACATCATTCCTAACACTTGACATAACAGGCAAAGAAACTGAAGCATTGGAGAAATGTGCCTTGAACTTCCTTGAATCCTTCACCGTTGCCGTTTCCACTCCCATTAGATGGTTTAGGTAACCACAGGATGTTACCAACTTTCGCTCTATGGATTCAATGGTTGTGTTTCGATCCAGCAACATCGTGTTGTCGAATGCCGACCTCCAAACTATGTTGTTGCTGTTGGATATCTCCGAGGGGTCGATTTGATTGATGTTTTGTGTCGGTTCTTTGCGCTCGATTGCGTTGGTTAG